GTCATTTGCACCATCTGTTATCTGTGCAAGTATCAGCAAAGAGAAATGTTGAGACGCTTCTGAAGACATCTGCTTATTCCATTGAGCTTAACAATTCAGACTTTTTTCCCCTTAAATCGTATGTACATATACCTAAAATATATACCTCTTCCTGACACTTCTTAAGCTTTTTAGAATAACAGCAGATTTTTATCCTCTCAAATCTGATTCCACCTTGTCTTTCTCTGCATTTTAGAAAACAACTAGAGATTTGAAGTAGTAGTAGCTGAGGTAAGGAATATAGATTCAACATGGTAGTAGCTTCACCAATTCGCTGTTGCATAAGTTTTGAAACAATGATGGCTGCAGTACTTCTCCTTGGGCTGACTGGATTGTTTACTGTGATATTCAAACAACTTCTTCGAAAGCTGAAATACATAGGTAGTGTTGTGGTGTGATTTGTTGTCTGAGATTTCAGTGACTTTCTAAGGTATAGTATAAAGCCATAGGCAGTAAATTATATATTTGATTGATGCACAAGTATGTAAGCTGTATATCAATGTCAATATATATGTGTGAATGTTGAAATGACAGGTTTTGTATAATGACCTGATTCTAGTCTTATTATGCATGTATTACTACTAATGGACATAACTGTTATTCTGAAACATAGGAAAACAGGATCAGTACTTGTAGACATGTAGATGGCAAATCCAGAACATTTTGAGGTCAACAGACGTTTTATGGAAAGTTAAGTTTAACCGCCTGGAAGATTTGCCAGTGAAGTTAGGTGATATAGGATCTGAAAAGAAAAACAATTTCTTGCCCCTATCAACTCCACGTTGCCCCTATCAGCTCCCAGGTAGGCTTGGTATTAGTAGACCAACACCATGCCAGGAACATATTTAGCAGCTACAGAGCTTGGAAATGCTCTCTGATCAGGGAAAGGCTGCTTCCCCTCTCCAGCTTCATGTCTCTGAAGCAGAATGAGGAATCTGGGTTCAGGATCATGTCATTTAATTCCTGAGTCCTTGTCCCTGCAAACTGAATGGAGCATCTGTGACACATGCACTACCATCTGGAAAAGGAAAAAGTAACCCAGTCAAAATTCGGAAGCCAGTAGCATCCCTGCAATAGCTCTTACATGATTTCCAAATCAACTTATATCTCCGTGCAGGAGTATGGCTGAGGGAAGATAACCTGTGTGCCTGGGGGAATAACTACTATGTGGAGTAGAATTGATTTGTCTGATGACAACAAAAATCTCCTAGCAATAACCTCCATAGATTCCAGTAACATAGAAATCCTTTCATAATCCAACTGAGAAAAAAATAATTCACCTTTTCTTTCTGCCCTTTAAAAGGTCCCACTTGGCCTTTTCGTGATTTATTTTTTATGACCTTAAAAGTTAACATTACAAAAAGGAATTTGTAACAAGTTTATGGGAAATTATGAGGTAAAAGATAAAAACCTCCAGTCAGAGAACAGGCTTGAAAACAAATCCACAAAAATCAAGAATGTCCTGTGATTAATTTGTTCTTTACGATAACTACTAAATTAATGCATATACTTACAAAACTAATTGCAAATGATCAGTGATTGTTGCTTGTACAAATGTAAGGATTTCTTAATGTCATCAAGCTACATTATATAATCAGTCCTTGGATAAACAGCTTTGGTATTTCTCACAAGTACTGTCTTTAATAGTTTTTCCAAATTAATGTCATTTCATTTAAAACATTTTAAACCGATTACTGCTAATCTGGAACCGTGATCAACCTGCTGTCAACTAAGAAATTAAATGCCCTTTTTTATGGGATGGTTGGATTTGTTTTCATCTCATAGATTTTTTTTTTAATCTATACATTGGAAATCTGCGTATTTAGGGAGACATTTAGTGTACAATATATTTACCTAATAAATATTGTTAATAATTAACAATTATCTTAAAGAAAAGCTGAATATATAAACACCTCAGTCTTTATTTCATAAGATGGGTTTTAAGCAATTCAAGGATATTATCTGTGAATGTGTTATGTAAAAATATCCGTGTGAGGCAAGTGCAAAAATGCTTTGTAATGAAAAAAAACCTCTGTATGCAAGTAACAGAGAAATAGTAACACCTCGCTTTCATATAGCAAAGAGCAGCACATTGGAGTCCAGTTGTGGAAAATTCCAACCTGTCACACTGAACAAAGTTGCTCTTGCCAAACCCTTTGGTTATACAACAGAAACTGAAAAATACTGAAATAATTGTTATTTTGATTTTATGTAGTTAAATTGGTGGTAGTGTACATGACTTACAGAATTTGACATTAGAAACAGTGATTCTTTTAACTTATTTCTGTGCATCACCTAAATCAGTGAAAGAATAACAGATAAATACTGAAATGCGTACCCTTTAATAAAAAAAAGCAATACTTTTTACCCTTCACATTCAGGATCACATTTTTTTAAAGTCCCCATAGAAAGTAGAAAAAAAAAATGGTATGTGAGACTGCTTCTGCAAGAACTGATTCACTACTAGGGAAAAAAATCAAAAAACATTGAGAAATATTTTCAGCAGCAAAATCCCCAGGCAAATCCAAGCTAAATTAAATCATTTGTCAGTCCTATTGACCAGGTTTTTTTCTCCTTCTGCTAAGACCTTTCTATCCTGAGGTGGAACGGACCGTAGATAGACCACATACTCTCAGGTGTCTGAAATGTGATTAGCCAACGCTGTGGTAGTATCTAATGCTGACTGTGTAACAAAATGGCCATTTGAAGCTCTAACTTCCAGTGTGGATTCAGATGTAATTCATGATGCTGAAGTTGGGATCCTGTTGGAATACGTATACAGGTGGATCAAACATAAGATCAAACTTTCATCCAAATATTTGGATATACAATTCAATAAACTTTTTTTTTAATATTTGTAATAAGAGTGATGCTACAAAATAGTTAAGGAGCAAGATACGCTATATGGAGCTGTGCAAGAGCTAAGGTCATGATCTTGCATCCTCCTGAATGCTGTGATATTAATAACACCCCTGGTAGCCTCAAAGTAGGGCATTTTTTTCCCTCACAGCAAGTAGCCTATTTTGCCCAATTTAGGGTACATAAAAGTGCAACTGTCAGCTGTAATGAATTTCGTATGGTTCTGTATTAATTCCTGTATCAATTACTTTCATCCAAAAGAGACTGATACCTGGAAGGATAGCTGGAAGGAAAGCCTTTCAAAATACACTGTACTTTGGGCATGGTAAAGGCGCTTTCCTAGGAGACAGGTGACCTGGATGAAAATACCGGCACTGTCCTGGACAGAGAGGTTTTGTGTACACCATCTGGGCATCTGAATCCTAAACTGGAAATTTTTAAATGAAGCACCTCCAGTTCTTTCATTTTATTTGTATTTTTTACAAGTTCAAAACAAGAGGAAATTTACTTCTTCATTACCCAATGAAACTCCTAGCAGTTTTAGTGTAATTCAGCAAAATTTTTCTTTTTGGTACAGGCACCAAAAATTATTTCTTGCCAAAATTTACAATACCAGTTTCCTTTGTAAAGACAGAAGCAGTTCACAAATCTGAAAAGCTTAAAAACTTAGAAAATGAAATAAATCTAGACAGAGGAATTGTTGATTTGTGTAATTATTATATCAGTAGATAAATATTAATTTTGTCATCTGCAATCCAAGAATCATTAGTTTATTCCCTGTTACCAATTATTTTAGCTGATAGGGGTCTAGAAAAGAAACATTTAAATAGATGGAAAGAGCAATAGTTAGCATCCTTGGCACCCAAGATGGCAAGAGAGAAACACCAGAGCTCTCTGAGGAGAAAAAAACAAAGAAAAACACAAACACAGACGCAAATACTGAAATTTTATATGCACATTTTATAAATAAGTGTGAATTGGAGATTTGTTTATGTACACAGGATTTGTGCTGTATATTATATGCCATAGTAGGTAACTATTGGATCCGATTAATGTTATTCTCCTTTACTTCCTCGTTTCTGAAATTATTCTCGGTGCTCCGTGGCAAATACTGTATTTTTTCATGTACACTGTGTGCCTCCAAGCACAATTTGTTTTCCTGGGCAGTGAGTAATAAACAGCAACAAAACTGTTCCCATTTAATTGCCTTGACAAGGAAAATAGGAAAAAAAAATCATCTAACTTGGACTCCCAGGGCTTTTAAAGTGCCTGGTTTTCTCTGGGAACAGCCGCTTTGACTGACTCCCTGTAAAGCTAGAAGAAGATGCTGACACCACCTTTGCGTCTTTTAAAGCCTCTGAATGAGCTACAGTGTCCCAGAAAGAATCCAGAGGGATAGCTAAATGTCAAAAGCACAGAAACCACAAATTTACCTGTTCTTTTGAGATGTGTTTCACAAATGGCAGCTATGGGCATGGGTTAAACATAAAGAATACAAAGTTCTTTTGAACTGAGGTAAATCTAGGCTACACAAAAGACTGCAAGTAAAGGATAAACAGGCACACAACAAATAGTAACATTACAACAATTAACAACAAATGCAAAATCAAGGATTTTTTTTTTTCTCTCCTTGGGAAATGAAACTGATAAGATGAAATATGGTGGTATATTGAAATGGATAACTCTTTGAAAAGAAAGAAATGGGGCCATGGGACTATGTTAATGCCTATTAAAACAAAGTGCCACTTTCCCACACTTGATAAGTCTGCATGCTCAGCTCTTTCTAATCCCCCTGCCTTGGAGTGTAAAATAAAATTGACCTTTAGCCTCCTTGTAATTAGCTTAACACCCAGCTTTAAGAATACAATCGTGTATTAAAAATAGTCAAATTTATTTCATATCTCTATGCTAAGCACTATCTGACAGAATCTCTGGTGCTTTATCTAGCAATTAATTTAGGAGCAATATCTCTTCTCATGCACAGAGGATGTGTTACTAGGCTGTTCCTTCAAAGCAGTAACCTAAATTCCTACTATATAGGCACAAAAGTATTTTTTCCTTCAGCTGCTTGCTGGCTCAGTCACTTGTCTCTTTTCTTGCAGAATGATTCCTGGGGAAAGCAGTACTCCTATGCACTCTTCAAAGCCATGAGCCATATGCTCTGCATTGGTTATGGAGCCCGTGCCCCCGTCAGCATGTCTGATCTCTGGATAACCATGTTGAGCATGATTGTGGGGGCTACTTGTTATGCCATGTTTGTTGGTCATGCGACTGCCCTAATTCAGTCTCTGGATTCTTCACGACGACAATATCAAGAGAAGGTAATTAATTTTAACACAACCTTTTTGAGAAGTCTTGACATAAATTAGTGAGATGTTTTGAATGTGGAAAAAGCTACACAATTTTGCAAGAAGTAATCTGAATCCCGCAGCAAATTTCACTGAACATGAAATAATTCAGAGAACATTGTGGGCTAAATGTATCCCTGCATGAACCTACACATCTCATATGCACTGAATAAAATCTTGGATTTGAAACTTGCTTTAAGTTCTGTAAAATCTGACACACAAACTCCATCTCCTGGTCCTGCCTGTGCCTCACTCTGTTGGTGCTTGAACTAAATGGTTTGAATGAGGAACTTGAACAAGGTCATTTGAGCTTGTCTATAGAGGTTACTGTCATTTCTTTGGACTGCAGTATAAGCATAACCTTGTCATAAGAATGGTCTTTAAATGAGGAGCACACCTGATGACTCAGTGTTGCCTGAAACTACCTTAGAGAAGTGCTTAAAAGAAGTCTTTATTTGCCTTATCATAATGTTTATACTATAATCAATAATGTGCTAGGCTGTCTCCAAGGACTGAAGAATACCAGCCAAAAAGGTACTCATCCAAAAAATAGAAAAAAAAAAGGATAATTTAGGGAAATAAATTTTAGGGAGTTCATTAAGAAACAGATACAAGAATTGAGTTTGTGGTATTCCATGTAAGCATGAGTAGAAACCAGGTGGTGATGGTAGGAATGGTGGCATAAGGAATCAGAATGAACCTTGGCAAAGTATAATAAAGATGTGCAGAGTTACTGAGGTGTTTAAAAGAAGCAAAAACTGGATGTTACAGTAAATAGGGAACTAGAGAGGACATGCCAGGAGAGAGGTCAACTGAACAAACTAGTCAAATCAGAGAGTTCAAAGGAGAGTTCAAACCAGCAAGTAAGAAACATGGCCTGAGCAACATTATCAGGCATTCCTCCAAAAGGGAGTCAGGAAAGGCAAATTGGGCAGAAATCCCAGTGTGATGTAATGCAAGCCTGGGGGAGAAACCTGGCAAAGAGTACGTAGAGGAGAGAGTGACCCTTGCATTGCTGAAGATGAAAAGGTGAAAAGGAATGGCCTGAGTTTGATGGGCAAGAAAAAAAGGAAAAAGTCCCAAAAGACCTGAGAGCAGAAAGAATGTGGTGTTTTCTTTACAGGCAGGAAAGCGGAAGGGCAGACCCGAGTGTGTCAATGAAGAGCTTACATTCAATTTTGTTAAGCTGAAGTCACAGCAAGAGGCAGTACTCAGAGGCAGGCAGAGATAAGGGATGTGCTAAAATGCTAGTAACAGAGAAATTACCTGGTAGTTGACACATTAATCTCGTGACTGCTTAAAACAGAAGATTGCAAACACGGAGTTATCTTGAATGACAAATGAAGATGAGAGGTTTATAAGGAGAGGGTGAGTGAGCATTAAAACCTCTAGAAATCTGTGTTTTATCAGTGACCCTGTGAAACCTCCCAGTGCATTTCAATGTAAAATCAAATGGCTAATTCTGCTAGGTGATTATATCTAACAGATTTATTGGGACACCCTGGGCCTACTCTACCATCTCAAGGGGAATCAATTTATCAGAATGAGACATTTGTAAGGAGCTATGGGACAGGATAAATTAACCATAATGGAAAACATAAAGATGGAAACCTAAGACCTGTATAACTGCTATTTCATTAGAGGTTGGGACAAACATGTTTACACACACATGCACCCAAATGTGAAATCAATATCAGCTTGAAAGCTCATCATATCCTCAGACTTCCATGGTCACATTGTAGTATTACAGTGTTCTTTCCTAAAAAAAATGTACTTATATTTTACATAGCAGAAACTGGAGGAAAAGGTAAATCAAATCTTCACCCTCAAATTTCAGACTTTTTAATGTAAATGTAAAAATCTACTTTGGTTTAGGACATTGCTTCTTTTGGGAATTCAAAATGTCAAGTGTCTTCTTTTGGAATTCAAAATTGGAGAAATCAGGAGAGAGTGACTTGATTAGTTTTCTTCTGCTTAAATGCCAGTGTCATCTTCTTTTTACATATTACATGTTTCAAAGATCAATTGTTTCTGTAAGAAGACTTACTAAAAATAATGGAATTAGCTTGGATTGCTAAAGAATAGATAATGTCACCAGAGACATGGTCTTAGATTCTTCTCTGGGTCAGTTCGTGCCCTGTCATCAAAATCTTCTCTCTGTATTTTTTTTTTTCCTCTTCTGCTTCAGCTAACATTTCATAAATATATCCATGGCACTCAATTAGAAACTAGAACTATTGAATTCTGGTACTTCTTGGAATAAAGGAAAGTAGCTTGCAGTGACATATTTGCTGAAAAGACCAGCAAATTTCTCTGTATAAATTCTCCCAAAGCTCAGGTTATGCAAAACTGGAAAAAGCATTACAATTCAAAATAGAAGAAATAAACACAAGAAGACAAGACAGAGTTTTGTTAAGCCAAATATGTTAGACATCATCAAAGAGCATCAATTTTACCTGTGCCAAATATTGCATGCTGAGAGAAATTGAAGTATGGTTAAGAAAGCAAATACTGCTGGGCTTATGGTTATAGGCCAAAAACATAATTTATCAGAGGAAATTAACAGTGTTTCTCAGCTGGCAAATGCTGAGGGGAGACAATTAAATCACATACCAAGAACTGCTACAAAAAATGGATTATTTCTACATTCTGCTGACTTTGAGGAACACTTGGTAGGTTTTTGCACTGAAATGAATGGAAATATTAGTGGAGAAGAAATGCATGTCAGACCTTTTCAATCAGAAAATCTGACAGATTCTGCCTTATAAAAGAATAGGAAAAAATCAGTGACACCTTAGCACTGGTATAAATCTTTGATACAAACAAGATCAGTAGTAAATGGAAGAGTGATGCAGTAGTACATAGAAGTTATATTTTAATAATAATTCCTTTGTCTTGTTCTAATATCCAGGAAGTCACACAGGCAGCATCTGAAAAAAAGGTACTGTAAAGCAAAGCAGGCAAATAAAAGTCATTAGAGAAATTGTTAAAAACCACTGATATAATAACTCTTCATTTGGATTTTTATAGTTTTTAATAGGAAAATGATCACCTAATGCTTTGGATGCTGTTGAATTAGCTTGAAAAAGAATAGTTAAAATTTCTTTTGTTCCAGTCTGTCATAGTAGCATGAAAGATCGAGGATCTAAGTCATAAACAAATAGTTTTGCAATAGCATACAGATTGTATAGCATAAAATTGGCTTGATAAAGTGATAGGTTTTATATTGATTTACATTATGCTATCATTTATATCTTTTTATTTATTGGCAAACAAGTCTAATAACTGCACAAGTTTTCCAAAATAAACAAATAAAGCACTTTTACCAGTTGCAAGTAATAAAAAGGCACAAAAATAATCTGTATGTATATCATGGGAAATGGAAAAATTTACAACTGCCTCCGTGTAAGGGATGCTGTCCTACTCTTGCGAAGGTATGTTAAATTGTTATTAAAGATGAGGAAGTATTCTGGACTTGACATCAACTTTAAATGTCCCAAAGATCATCTCCTTAGTCCATGCTATGCTTTTAGCTTTTTTATTAATATGGTCTTTTACACATCTTCTGTTAAATCGATCATCAGACTCAAAGAGAGTAGATCTTTTAAATCTCAATGTGGGAAGATCTAAAATGTTCTTTTCTACAGAGAAAAAGCAGTTAATTGCATGCAAAAATAATTTAAAAGCAACTTGCTAATTAGTGTTGGGTCTTTTTACATAGACAGCATGGTGATTTGAAGCACAGATTGCTCATTTTTAATTTTCTTTTTAAGCATCCAAGGAAATCTTTAGCAATGAATGACATAGGATTAAGGAAGGAGACAGCTTTAGATTTTACAGCACCAAGGCTGGCACCAGCTTTCAAGTATGCCCCTCACAGCTCTGATTTGGGTGTCTAAATTCTGTGCCTAGAGGATAGGGAGAGCCAGACCCTCCACAGTTCACACACAAGAGCCAGCATCCTGGCTGAGCTGGTTTGAGGAAGCAACAGCTGGAGCGAATTTCCATCTTGCCCTTCTTCCCGCTCCGCTAGGCAGAGGCACATACTCCAGGCAGCTTGGGCAGCTGCATGTCTGAGCTCCTTCTCTCAGAATGGCATGGAGGGATCACCTTTCCTTTCGGAGGCAGCCAGAAGAGCAGATGGTGCTTCCTCCCCTGCCGGTGTTTCACTCTGGGAAGAGAAAACTCTTCCCAGAAGCAGCGCTAGCAGGTTGAAAGCCAACAGCCGCCTGAACGGTTCAAGCAGGAGCGCGTCCCTCCCGCCACATGCCAGGCATTTTGTGCTGCCACAAGATGAAGCAGATGGGAAGGAAGGTAAAAAGGAGACTCCTTGCCTCACTTCACCTCACCTCACCTTGTCTCACCCACTCAGCTGCACTGCTTTGACCAAAGTATGAAAGACTCATTGTGCCCAAGAGGATCGAGATGCAGGAACGTGACTCTGTAGGGTACAGCGCGAGTCCTGCCCTGCTTCCACAGGGACATTTATAAGTGGTTCTTCGGAAGCTCCCAGGCAGTGCTGCTGGCAGGGATGAAACCTTAGCTTCCCTTTTCTTTAGGTGAACACCTTAAATGCTGGGATGCAGGGTCAGGCTCTTTCTCCTCTGCTAAATGATTTTAGTGTGCAGCGAAGAGAGCCAAAGGCAGTGAGTTCACTGCCATGGGCTATACCTTGGTGTCCTAGCACTCACCTGGGGAGGTGGTGGCTCTGCATCTTATTATGACAAAAGGAGCAAGTTATCCACGTTTTCCGAAGTTTCCGTCCCTTTATGTTTAAAGACAGGTTGGAAGAAGATGAATATCAAGCTCTCAATATGCTCATTAGCAGAGTGCCTAGGAGACTTTTCTAGAAAATTGTAGACTTCTGTAAATATCAGCAACATACAGCAGGAGTTCAGGAATTAGTAGTTCCAGTATTAGGTCATGATGCAAACGTGTCGAAAGGGAAGAACATCACAATTTAATTAGGCTTG